CACACCTGCTATGACATCACCTTATTTTCTCTTTCTTTTCTTTTCTCCCTCCCTTCCTTCTCTTTCCTTCCTCCTATCCTTCCCCTTCTTCCTTCCCTTACTTCTCCCCTACTCCTACCCTCTGTCTTCTCCTTCCTGCTCTCTCTCCTTCTCTCTCTCTTCCTCCCTCCTCTCCTTCTCTTTCTCTCCCTTCTACCCACCTCTCCTTACCTCTTTCTACTTCCCCTACCTCTCCTCCACACTTCTTCTTCCTTTCCTACTACCTCTCCTTCTCCTTCTCTCTCTTCCACCCTCCACTCCTTTCCATTCCTTCGTCCTTATCCCTGTTTTAATGTGGTTGCGAGCAAGGTGAAATGATCCAATACGGTAAATCCCTGAGTTACGACCTCAATGGAGCCAGTTGCCAAGCTTGGCAGTTGTTTACGTGAGTTTTGCTCCATTTTGCGACCTTCTTTGCTGTAGTTGTTAAGCGAATCACTGCAGTTGCTGAGCTATGTGATTCTGGCTTCGCCCATTGACTTAGCTTGTCAGAAGGTCGCAAAAGGGGATCAAAAGTGACCCCAGGACGCTGCGACCGTCATAAATAGGAGTCAGTTGTCCAGGGTCCAAATTTTGATCACGTGACCATGGGGACTATGTGTGAAAAGGGCTCCTAAGTCACTTTGTTCAGTCCTGTTGTAACTTCGAACGGTCGCTAAATTAGTAAGTTGTAAGTCGAGGACCGCTTGTATAACCCTGATCTTGGTGGGCTTTAGAAGATCCTCCAGGAGGGAGACTGTCAAAGGAACCCCTAAAACCCTGAAAAATTGCAAAACCTAAAAGCAGGACGGCCCCCTCCAACACAAAAGCAACACTGATTTGAGCAAAGTCACACTGTCAAGAGTTGTGTTGCATTATAAATCTTGTTGACAAAGACACAAACAGTCAAATGGCTCCCTTCCAAGGGTTGCGGGTGCTTTGTAAGAAGAGAACGGATGACCATTTGTCTGAAATGGTTTAAGGTTTCCTGCCTGAGCAGGGGGTTGGACTAGAAGACCTCCAAGGTCCCTTCTGACTCTGCTACTCTTTTATTTGGAGGAGGAGGGGGGGGGAAGAGAAGGAAAAGGAGGAGGAAGAGAGAAGGAAAAAGAGGAAGAGGGAGGGGAAAGGAGAAGAAGAAGGAGAAGGAGAAAAGGG